TCGCCTTGACTTTTGAGTGCTGCGTGCCCTCGCCCACGCCGCATCTCCTGCTGTCACTAATCACAGTGAAGGTTTCAACCGTTGTAACCGTAACCATTTTGTTCCAGTTTGCAACCGCACCTACTACGGCGACGTAGGCAAGACGTACGAACTGTCGATCGGAAAGCCCGCACTGGACCGCATCCCCTACAACTGCCACCTCACCTTCACTGCCAGCGGACACACCCACGGCGAGCTCATCCAGGTAAGCACCTCCCTTACAGCCCTTCTGTCCTGCCGTATGCATACGTCCATGGAGGACGTTGAATGACTTTCCCATACCCATAGCGTGCACACCCCATTTTGCACGACGCAAGGCTCTGCTGGAGCAGTGTAGACGGTCGGTTCGACACGAAATCGACGGGCAAGCCAAACCAATTAAGTATTTCGCCGCAACGTTTTGGGCTGCGACGCTCAACCTTTGGTACCTGTGGTGCCGTTGCTCATAAACACTCTTCTGCCACGCTCGGTAACCCGCGGCACCTCAACCCCTTATCGCCTTCGTGCGACCCCTCAGCTACTGAATGTGGGCTTTATCAGCTGAAGGATCTTAACAGCTTACCATCTTAACATGTTAAGACATGCATTTTGCATCATATTTGATAGTATGACTATTGTTTTACATTTTAATGTCTTTATATTGGCTAAAATGCCGACCAGAACATCCACGGGATCGCTACAACGATCGACAGAATCATGGTTCATGGTTTCCTTGAAAGTTGTGTTAACACTGGAAACGCAAGTGTGTGAATGTCGACTTGTAGGTGTGTGAATATCCATTCATACACTAGAGCGGTAAAGAAGTGAATTTTTCCTAGAAAATTCACACTTTTCCCCCTCTAAGTGTACGAATCGATATTCACACACCTACAGGTGTGCGACATTCACACACTTGCGTTTCCAGTGAAGATCCGGCGAAACCACGGATCTCTGCTTTCCATCAAACTGAAGCGATGGAAAATCTTTCTAAACGTTCCGGTCGGCCTTTTTTAAAAATTTAAACACATTCATAACTAAAAATCATGGCCAAAGTGCTAAATACAATGAAAATGAAACTGTTAAGATGTTAAGATCCTTAAGCTGATAAAGACGTAATGTCGTGTGTGTCCAGAACACTCCAGTGACGACCCTGACGTAGGGAGCTTTCACCCCCCCCCCCCCTTTCCTATCACACACACACACACACCCACACACACACAGTATGTACGCGTTTACACGTACACACACGGGATATCGGGATATACCGAGGCGTGCAGCACATTCGCCATCAAGTGTGGCTGACAGCGCCGAGTGCATCGTGGTGTAGCGTAGCCTCGCGCAGGGCCTCTCACTGTGCTGCAGCGGTCAGTCACAGTCGTGTATGTGCCAGGAGAGGTTTATGAATAAACCTTTTGTCTTTGTCAATCTAGCTTTGGTTCTCGCTTCAAGTTATTGTAATGATACGGTGGAACAGTGTAGTAAAAAACACGAACAGTACACACCCTTATGTGGTTGCTCCCGCGGTCAACCACATGGAAATAATAACAAAAGGAGGCCATCATGAAAGCGTTGTCTGTTTGTAATGACCCACACGCACGCACAGAAAAAAAGATCCCCACTGCCCTCTCCCCACTTTCGTACACTCTTTAACGGCCAGTCGTATATCGGGTGTCGGTCCGGCATTTTTCCCCTTTGCGAATATTATCGAAGCTCCATACCGTCAGACATGGAGAGCCAGCATAGAGCCGAGTGGCGCCAGCCCAGTAGCCCAGTGGGGGCAACATCACAAACAAAAAGGGAGGCCGAAACAAAACAAAAACGTCGATTTAAAGAGAGCGCGCGAGCCCCTAATTAATGCTGTGTGAGCGGAGCCAAAGCGACGCGCGAGTGAAACAAAGTAAAAAAAAAAAACAAAAAAAAACGGCCCGACAGCGGAGGAAAAACACGTGGGAAGGGGAGAGAAGGGGGAAAGGGTGAAAAGAAGGAGGAGCTGCACGGACTGAACTGAACATCATCTTCTTTTATCTGAGTAACCAACCGGGTCCAGGAGTGGGAGCAGTGGGATCTTAGGGAAAAAGTAAGAGAATGAGAGAGAGCGACGGAAGGTGATGGGCGGGGAAAAGGGAGAGGTTGAGAGGAGCAAAAGAGGTAAAACTGAGATATTATGATAACGTCGCACGCGGTAGAGTCTTAGTAGAGCGAGTCTAATGGCCCAGAAGGAGAGCTCAGCCAGCGTGCGGGCCGGGCCGGGGTGGAGCTGGCGGTGCTCTCTAGTGGGGCTTGACAGGAGATAGAGCCGTCATCGCCGGTGCGCCCGCTTACTTCCGGCCTCGTTAGGTGAGCCTATTTCCGGCTCCGCTCCACCCGCTTACCGCTCGCTTTTGTCCCGGGACGAGCAGAGAGCGAGCCTCACCCCGGACCCCGGGGGGAACAAAACGGAAAACAACAAAAACAGGAAAAAGAACATCGGCCCTGCAGCCGCAACTGAACAAACCCTGCTCCCTGTGCTGCGGTCACTAGTAGTAGTTTTCTATTTCTATCTCTCTCCCTCTCTCTTTTCTTGTCTTCTCTAAATCAGAGCCAAGCAGCCCCCCTCTGTCTGTGCTCGCCGACGGGACGGCTGCTGGTGCTGCTGCTCCGAAAACATACATATATATAAGTACGCGCTACGTTACGCCCCCCCC